TGGAGGGAGAGATGAACCATGAGAGACTATGGACCTGAGAAACAAACAGGGTTTTAGAGGGGAGGGGGAATGGGGGATTGGTTAGCCCGGTGATGGGTATTAAGGAGGGCACGTACTGCATGGAACACTGGGTGTTATACGAAAACAATGGATCGTGGATCACTACATCAAAAACTAATGATGTATTGTATGGTGACATAATATAATAAAACTAAAAACTACAAAAAAAAAATTAAAAAATTAAAAAAAAATGTTTATAGAAAAAAAAAGACTTAATGGCTTCCCGATGCTCTCTGACCTTAAATCAAAGTCTACTTTGCTGAAGAAAAATATATTTACTTTTTCTCCATGATTTGAAAAACTCTGCTATAGATAATTAAAGCTAACTGCACCTAATATTTTTAGCAAATTAACTTGCCATACTGCACAGTTTTTCTGAAATAAAAATGGTACACAGTGCTTAGCATAATTAAGTCAGCTGGGGAACCGAATGAGTAGATGTAATATGATCCTATCTACAGTCATTTTTCTACTAAAGTCAAAAATGCATATTTTTGTCCCAATTTAAAAGAAAAAGCAACATCTATTGAAAATATTGTTAAACCATAACAATTTTTGGATCATAATTTTAACAGAAATGGTACTTATTTGCCCAAGAAATATTTAATCACTCACCTACTTTGGGTCAATCATTGTACTAGGCAAAAAGTAGTCAACAGGATAGACATGCTGTTACCAGAGCATGTGAGCCTTACCATTCTTACAAACACAGGAGTATCAAGCAGGTTGATCATTCTATCTCCTTCCAGCTATTATATTATTTCTCTGCTGCCTTTGAAAGTTCTAAAAAAAAAAAAAAAAAGTGAAAATTCTCCAAAAAGTTGTTCATATGGTCCCTAAAATATGTTTTTCCCATCTTCTTAAAACACTCATTTACTTGGCTTCTGATCACTGCTCTCTTTTGGTTTTCCTCCCTGGCTAGTGCTTCCTCATCCTCTCAGTTCTTAAATGTTGGAATTACCCACAGTTGAATCATCCAACTTCATGTTTTTGTTTTTCTTTTTCTTCCTGCAGATGGCTTTAAATACCATCTATATATTGGTAATTCCCCTATTTGTACCTCCATCCTGGACTTTTCCCTTTGGTTCCAGAATTTTATATACAGGATCCAACTCAAACTCTTCATTTGGGTGTCTGATATTTCAACACGTCCAAAATCCATATTCTGCCTGGACACAGCCCCACTCCCTCCCTACGTTCCTCTATAGTTTTCCCAGTCTCAGTCAAGTGAAGCTTCATCTTTTCCCATACTCCCGCCAGACCCCTGATTCATCATTGACTGCTTTTTCTCTCACATCCTGTATTCAATCTCTCATCAAATCCTGCTGGCAAAGTCTTCCAAATGCATCCAGGATTTGACCACTTCTCACCACTTTTCCTGCTACTACTCAGATCCCAAACACCATCATTTCTGATCTGCATTCTTTTAATTACTTTCTAACTAATTTCTCCTCTAACTTTACCCCCTACAAGAGAGCCTATTCAAACTAAAATCACTTCTGTGGCTGTAATATCTTAGAGTGAAGGCCAAAGTCCTTAAAATAGCAAGTTTTAGAGGGTCCTGGGTGGCTCAGCCGTTAAGCGTCTGCCTCCGGCTCAGGTCATGATCCCAGCGTCCTGGAATCGAGCCCCGCATCAGGCTCCCCAATCAGCGGGAAGCCTGCTTCTGCCTCTCCCACTCCCCCTGCTTGTGTTCCCTCTCTCGCTGTGTCTCTCTCTGTGTCAAATAAATAAATAAAATCTTAAAAAAAAAAATTTAAAAAAATAGCAAGTTTTAGCCTCATCCTTTAGTCTTTAGGTAAGCACAGTGCCTACCTGGAGTGCTCAGTCGGGCTCCACAAAACACGTCCACATGGTCTTCCAGACGGTGGCCCAGATGGCTCTCAGCAGCCGCAGTTATAGCTTCCGGCTGCAGAACTTTGGCGTGGTGACCTGATTGCTTGAGGGCCCCCCTGCTCTGGCCCCCCAGCAGCACAGAAAGGAGCTAAGTGACCTTCTGCTGAGTTGGCTAGGCTGCCCCCAGTCCCTGAGCTGTGACTACTGAACTGCACCCAGAACAGATGGGCACCACTGAGGCCAGGGCCCGGACCATGGGACTGGGGTCCTTGGACTGTAGCGAAACCCCTCTGGGCTTTGAAGAAGGGGGTTTCCGGTCCCACCAGCCCTGTGGAGAGGGAGTTCCCTGGGATCACTTAGACTCTAAGCTCCCAGCCCTGAACATCCTGGAGCGGCCTGGGCAGCCTGGTGCCACCTCGCGGCTATTCTTGAGGCTGCACCTTCAGAATCCTATGACTATCTCCTCTTCCCCTCCCCCATCCCAGTGATAACTCTATAAACTTAAATGACATCACTTGTCAAAGAAGTCCAAAAAAAGTCTCTCTTTCACTTCATCTCATACTAACCCTTACCTTGTTCATTCTGCTCCGGCCACACTGGGCTCATTGCTGTTCCTAGAACACTTTAAGAACATTATTGCTTCAAGGTGTTACCAGTTGCTGTTTCCTCTGACCTGGTCACTTTTCCCCCGCTTATGCTCAGAGCCAACCTTATATTTACTTACAGATTCTCTTCTAAATCATCTAATGCATGAAGACTTACCTGGTCCTCTATATAAAAGAGCCATGTCTACTATTTTCTCGGCTCTCTCATCTCCCTAATCCTGCTTCATTTTTCCTCACACTACTTATAATTGTATGAAGTACTATGTACTTACCTATTTCCTTCTTGTCTGCCCTCCAACCCCACCATGCTAGATATAAACTTCACAAGAGTTGAGATTATATCTGTTATGTTCACTACCGCATCCCTAAGGTCTAAAACAGGGACTGGAACATACTTGGCGCTCAAATAATTGTTGAGCAAATGATTAAGTGAATTTACAAAAGGGCATTATAAAGTGTTAATAGAAGTATAAACAGAGGGATCTAACCTAGGCTGGGGAAGCAAGACAAGATTTCTTGAGGTATCTGAAAGCTGAACGCTAAGAAGACAAGTAGGAGTTTACCCATAAAGAGAACAACATTGCCAAGACCTCGAGTCTGTTTATTCAACAAACATTTATTAAACACCTACAACGTACCAGGCTGTGTACCAGGCACGTGGAATATAAGGAGGAAAGGGAAAAGGACACATACAAATAAATACTGGCATATGGTCATTTAATAAAAAAGCAATAAAAACAAATTAACCTAGGATAGAGAATAAAGAGTGATGGGAATAAGGAAAGAAGACTAGATATGCTGGGGTGCCTGGGTGGCTCAGTTGGCTAAGCGACTGCCTTCAGCTCAGGTCATGATCCCAGGGTCCTGGGATTGAGTCCCACATCGGGCTCCCTGCTCGGCGGGAGGCCTGCTTCTCCCTCTCCCACTCCCCCTGCCTGTGTTCCTGCTCCCGCTGTCTCTGTCTCTGTCAAATAAATAAATAAAATCTTTAAAAAAAAAAAAAAAGACTAGATATGCTGGATAACACTTTTCAGGAGGTACAATTTGAGTAGAGACTGAAGGAAATCCAAGATAAGTTATTATCTGAGGGAAAAAAGCAAAAAAAAATTGTTCAAATCTATTATATCCTTATATATTGTACCTTATTAATCAGTTACTGAGAATTTTGTTTTAAAAATCTCTTACTCTTGGTGGATTTATCAACTTGGTAGTTCTGTCAATTTTTGCTTTCTATATTTTGAGGCTATATTAGGTACATTTAAGTTTATAAATGGTTTATATTCCTGATGAATTTAATCTTCTCTTTGTACATATGCACTTTTTTATGCATAGTTGATTTTGGATTTTTAAATTCTTTTACCACTCCCCTTTTTTACTTCCATAATAGAAATGCTATATGCTACTTCTTTTCTTTCAGCAATTTCTTGACTTTTAATATGTACGTATTTTACCTAAAGCCCAAAGTTAATGAATATCTCAGTTTTCTGCTCAGCAATACAAGGGCTTTAATTACAAATTTGCCTTACTATTCAAATGATTTAGTTCTCTAGTTTTTATCCCCTATGTTGTACAATAATATTATTTTTATACAAAAATATCTATTTAGAAATAACCACATTTATCAGTTTTTTGTTTACCATTCCTTTTTGCTCTCAGTACTGTAACTTCCAAATTTCTCTTTTTCCTGAAGTACCATCTTGAAATTCCTTCGGCAAGAGTCTAATAGAAACAAACTCTCTTCACATTTTTATGAAAATATATTTATTTCATCCTTACTATTAAGTGAAACTATTGATGCAAAATGAACAGGCCTCTTCTGAAATTTTAAAGAGAAAGGAAAAGAGTTTTATTTGAGCTCAAGTTAGAAGAGCTGCTGGGATACATACTCTTCACAAAGAAAAGAGTGCTCCAGAGAAGCAATGTTTAATACGGGGTTATATATGTTTTTTGTTACATCAAAAGTTATAAATCATCATGACATAAAACATTCCAGAAAATTACAAACTTTATCTTGTACTTTTAGTATGTGCAAGGTTACAGGCTACACACAGAAGTGTGGGAACTTAGGATTTTTACTCTTACCTTTAGTTTGAAATGTTTCTTTCAGGTTATTTGCTAATGAAGCAGATGTACAATGTGTGCTCCAGGTGGAAATGGAACCCATGCTTTGAAGTTTGGTTAAGTCATTCTGATCTTGGCAAAAGTTAAAGTATAGCTTCCCTGTGAGCCCAGAAGTAGGGCCCACAAACATTAAAAGTTGAAATTTTTCTTTATTGAAAGTTCAGTTAGGTATAGGATTAAGACTAGGTTATTTTTATTCTCAGTAATTTGATTATATTATTCCACTTTTTGTGACATATTTTACTGTTAAAAATCAAATATCATTCTAATTGCTGTTCCTTTGTAACTGATTTGTCTTTTCTCTTTTTCTTCTTAAAATAAATAAATACTTGCATGAAACATCTTTGATTTTGATATACATCAACATGTGTCCAAGTGTCCATTATTTTATATGTATCTTACCGTAGGTTTTATAAGGTTTTCTGAATCTGGGTACTCTGTGTCTTCTATTGATTCTGGATAATTCTCAGCATTTATGTATTTAACCATTGGCTTTTTCCACTTCTTCTGTAACTGATAAGACATAGCATTGGCCTTTTTATTCTGCCCACTATGTCTCTTAACCCTTATTCTACACTAATCCACTTCATATCTCTTCTTTGTTTCTAGAGAATTTCTTCATCTAAGATCCAGTTCACTAGTTTTCTCTTACTTGTGTCTAATTTACTGCTTATTAGTTCCGCTGTTTTTACCTTGCATTATTTTTATTTTTGAACAACATATTTAGCTCAATAAAATCATTTCCAGATAAGTTTTATTAGCCTCACCCTCCTTGATCATATTTTCAATTCTCTTCTATTTGTTTACATTTTAATCATAGTTATTTTATACTTTAAATTTGACAGTCCCAATTATTTAAGTTATCTTTTTCCAGTTCTGCTATTTATTGTTTCTACTAACTCTTGCTTATGGTGTATTATTTTCTCATCTGCTTTGTAATTTGAAGTATAAAACGGATATTTGTATGACCTCAATGTATGAGAACCAAGAGAGTCTTGAGTTGAGTGTAGATTTCTCCAATGGGGAGTAGAGTTAGCTTTGGGCAGGCCTAACAGAGCTTTACCAAAGTAGGACCACTCTGAGTTTATTTCTCAGAGTGGGATTTTCTGGGTCACATAGGACAAAGTTTTGTCTTGGTTACATGAGGGAAAGCATGTGGTTTGCTGGCAAAGACAAGTTCCATTAGCATCTCCCTTTATTATTTGGCAAATGTCTTTTCAGTTTCACTAAGTTGTAGACTTTGGATGTAAGCATCATTAAGTAAGGGTCCCCTTCCTTTCCTCTGCTTGGGCCAAAGACCATTTTTTCATGTACTATTCAAAAACTTTTTTTTTTTAAGATTTTGTTTATTTGTTTGAGAGACAGAGCATGTTGGTGGTGGTGCAGAGGAAGAGGGAGAAGCCGACTCCCCACTAAGCAGGGAGCCAGACACAGGCTCAATCCCAGGACCCTGAGATCATGACCTGAGCTGGAGGGTGCCCAGGTGCCCCACTCTTCAAAGACTTTAAAACCCAAAGATCTAAGATTCTGGCATAGCCAAATGTCCCCAAGACAGCCCGGTGTTCGCTTGTGATTTTTAAACTATTTTGTAGTTGCCTACTTCTTTTTTACTAAGGATTTTCTTCCATTCTCACAGGCACAAGTTTGTAATTTAAAAATTGTGCGTTGCAATTTTTCAGCCTGTTGGTATTTTGCAATGGGAAAATTTTTAACTGAATTGCTGCAAGCATAAATCTATAACCCTGTCTATATATGACACAAAGATACAGATTGAAAATACTTACAGTGACATCATGGAAATCTATTCTTTTCCAGCATAAAATAGAAGAAAGATTATGCTCCTATGCTTGACTGTGTACTCTCTTCTTCTTTTTTCTCTCTTGGCATAAAGGATAAAGAACAAAGTAATTATATTACTAAATTATTTTACAACAAACTTATATAATCCATGTGTTACATATATATCAATCAACAGAACTAGGACGTAAATATTATGCATTTTTAACATATTTGATTTGAAAAATAAGCAAACAAATGTAAATTAATGCCTGTTTTACTTCTGTTTTGGATTCAAGAAATCAAGTTCCCAGCAGAATAACTCCATAGGGACTCTCTCCTCCACGCAAAATTCATAAACTTTAAAAGAAACCAACTCTTCCCTTTGTTATTTTCAATTAAGATATCTCAATACTTTGCCAAGATAAATGATGACAAGTATTTTTCCCTTGTTTACAGGGACAAGTCATTTTTATCACTTTTCTTCAAGAGAAAGAAAGTATTTCCATCAAACAAGTTTTGTTACCTTTAATCAAAGTGACAGGATGAATACTCTTGACAGCTAATGATTGACAAGACAAGTCTCAGAGATGTGACAAGGATCTGCTACTCTAAGTTACTTTTGATGCACATCTCAATGTAAAGTCATTTCTCTTCTTCAGCAGATAGGGATTATAATTGCATTACCTATTAAAACAAAGCAAAAATCATTCAAAACATCTTGCTACTCTTCTGTTTGCATTAATGACAAAATAAAATATTAAAAGTGTTTGCATTTCTTTGTTTAGATAGTAAAAAATATGTACAATATAACCAAGTGGAGTGTTTTCTGTTTTTCTAGTGTAAAGAGAAGTGAAATTTGATCTATCTTAACCTGTGTTGCAGTAATCAACATGAAATAGCATGATGAAATAGAAACATAATAGACAGACATTCACATCCTGGCTCTGCTAATCACTACTTAGGTGACCTGGGAAAACACTGAACCTGTTCCAACCTCAAATTCCTCAATTATAAATATTATTTTTAAAATTTAAAATACCTAACTGATAGAATTGTGGTGAGAGTAGTAAAATCACCTGGAAAGTAGGCTTTTATCAAATACCTTTCTCTATGAAGGGTGCTTATGGAGGAGAAAATATAAACACATACACATACACACACGTATATGTATTTATGTATATAGATTTATGTATACATATGTTTATGTATATATCTTTGTGGATGTGTTTGCGTATGTATATATCCTTTTAGGAGGCATTTCATAAAAAAATGTTCAGTGACTCATGACATAATTAATGAACAAAAAATTGGAATAACTTGTTAGCCCCTGAATAAATCTTTCCTTGGGGAAGGAATACTCACCCTTGTTGAGAAGGATAGGATGTTAACCAGAGTTCAGAAGAAATGACTTCAGTTGTTTTTTAATTTTTTTTTAAGATTATTTATTTATTTATTTGAGAGAGAGAGAAAGAGCACAGAGGGAGAAGCAGACTCCCTGCTGAGCAGAGAGCCAGAAGTAGGGCCCCGTCCTAGGACCCTGAGATCATGACCTGAGCCGAAGGCAGATGCTTAACCAACTGAGCCACCCAGGCACCCCAAAATGACTTCAGTTGTTTTTTTTTTAAGATTTTATTTATTTATTTGACAGATAGAGACATAGCGAGAGAAGGAACACAAGCAGGGGGAGTGGGAGAGGGAGAAGCAAGCTTCCTGTGGAGCAGGGAGGGGCTCGATCCCAGGACCCTGGGCAGATGCTTAACCCAAGGCAGACACTTAAGGTGCGTCATGCAGGCACCCCAAAATGACTTCAGTTCTGATGAAAAATAGGAAACACACTGGTGACAGGGCAAAAGCTGGACTCAAAAAAGAATGGGAGGAAAAAGGGAAACAAGAAGACCACAGGTGTTACTTTCTGCAGTATAATGAAGCCTTTACAAATCTTAATTGAGATGGCATTTTGTGATTGAGGATTATTTGAAAGCATCTGAACTGCAATGATCATTAAGGTATACCCAATTCATATATATATATATATATATATATGTGTGTGTGTGTATATATGTTAAATATACACATATATATGATATATATATGTTATATATAAAACAATCAACATCTGAAAGGGTTTTTGACTGGAGACTTTATAAAATAACAGAAGCCTGTATTTTAAAAATGCCTATGTAGTAAGAACTATACACCACTCACTATAAATTTGATGAGCAAAGCATAATTACGTAGAACAAACTACAAAGCATACCAACGATGATTTGATATAAGCATCTCACTTCTCCTCTCAAGGAACATATAAAAATACCTTCTTGGGTCACAAGTTCAAATGCACATAGGAGCCATGCAGGCACCGTAAGTGTATAAATGGGATGAACATGTGATCATAGAAGGTGACATAATAAACTGGGAGTATTAGTGCCACATTAAAGCATTTATATTCACGTTTTTAAAATCTGTGCTAACCAAACAAAGCACACCTTTGGATGAGATAGGGCAGAGGACCACCAATTGTTAGCCTGCCTTATTCAAACAGGGCTAGATTCTTCTGTTCAATTGATCTTCCCACACCTGACCCTATTCTTGCCACAAGCTATCCTCTTTTGAAACGGTCACTCCTTTTATCTAAATCATTTGTAACTAGTCGCAAAGTGGTGTGCTTCTGTTTGCAGTTGAATGAAGTTTGCTATTATGTAGAATCTTTCTTTCAACATCCAAAATACTAAATTTGTACAATTTCTATCTCTTAATGCAGTGTTTTTCTGGAGACACTTGATTGGCTGTCTTTATGTGTCCTTTCTGACTTGGTTCAGCACCAGCAACACCAGAGCCATTCTCTTTATAAGAGAAACAAAGAATCGTCCTGATTTGGTAACAGTTCTGCCCCATACAAGCCCTTTCACCCCCAGCTTTTGCACAGAACTGTTCATAATGCAGTGCTTGGTTTACCACCAATAAGCATTCCTGCTGACCCTAGTAGTGGACCAAAGTTTTAATAATAGATATAGGCCTGGGTCTTCTAGGGAAGGCTCCTCTTGCTAATATATATAGTCGTATATGAAAGCTAAGTATTTTCTCAGACATATGAGAAAATGATAACTTGATTTGACAATGGAGGACTGGACAGTGGAGGACCTGGGTATAAAAGTTTGTCAGAGTTTGTAAGGCAATTAGGAAATATTGCTGTGGGTTTTCATAGGATTTAAAAAAAAAAAAAAAAACTAACATTCTGGACTTCTGCAAAAGGGCAGCGTAGGAAGATCCTGAAATTACCTCCTCCCACGGATACACCAAATCTATAGCTACATATGAATCACTTCCCTCTGAAAAAGATCTGAAAACTAGATGCACAACTCCTCCACAATAAAGGAGGAAAAATCACATGGAGAAAAACACCAAAAACCCCACCCCTGATACACAATATAGAGGGATTTCACCAGTCCGGTGCTTCTACTGGAGGAGCAAGAGGTTGGTGCCCCACACAGGGCATCCCAACCCTTGGGATCTGTATAAGAGAGATGAATCCCCAGAATGTCTGGCTTGAAAAACTAATGGGGCTGACGTCCAAGTGATCCAACTTGCTATAGAGAACCGAGGCTCCTCTTTCAAAGGGCTCTTGTGCAGTCTCACTTGTCCAAGAACCAGTGAAAAAACAACAGTTTGAAAAGTGCCTAGACTATTTATGAAGGAGACTCATTTCTAATCTAAAATCGTCTTCTGGAGGGGCAGGGACAGTTGAAGCTCCCCGGAGATGGAGATGCTGGTGGACGTCATTTTTGTGCTCTCCACCTACACTACTAGCCGAGGTGGGTGAACTTGGACACGGCACCCTCCTGCCGCCTTACTAACAATGTGAGGGGTGGAGTGCTCACGCCACTGGGATATCAAAGGATGAGCTTTGTCTCAGATTCTGAGTAGCAAGACGAGAGTATTAGGCTAAGGGATGAGGAAGACCACCCCCCCCAAAATAACCAGAGCTGTTTATCGGTGCCATGAGCATTTCTAATGCCAGTTTGTCTGCAAGGTATGTCTCAGAAGTTATTTTACTCATATTTTAAAAGTTCCTTTTTCTAATACAAAGAGCAAAACAACTCAAGGAATTCTCTCACAAACTGACACCGATTTATATGCAGCTAGTAATACCATGCAGCTGGAAGAAACAGTAACCCCCGGGACCAAAAGAACTTAAGGATGTCTTGTCTAAATGCCAGTTAGTTTTCGATGTTGAGCTAACATCTAGAGACCAAGTCAGAACCAAAGCTAACATTTCAAGTACAATCTCAGTAATTTTTCCATCTTTTTTATTGTTTCCATATTTTTAGTGTTATTTGGAGATATACAAAGCTGAAATTGCCCTCAAATTGACAAAAAAAAAAAATCTTTTCAAAAGTTGTACTTTTTTTTTCAAAAAGGGTGCAATTTAAATGTGTATTTCTTCATTTTGGCATAATCATAACAGGCTTATACACACACAGATTAAATCGGAAATGAAAATCTAACTTCAGATGGAAACAGCCCCCAAAGTCACATATAACATAGCTTTGTCTATTTTTCATAGGAACTGAAGTTATTTCAAATTCACAGCTTCCAACAATGGTGTACATTCTCCAGGGTTTCTTCTTGAAAGGTGCCTGATTTTTTCAGATTGTATTTCTTTTAGACAGACTAAATAGCAACATAGTTGCTCATTCATTCATTTACTCTTTCCTATTTTCTACAAACATTTTTCAAGCCCTCACTAAATGCCAGACATAGTGCTGGAGATACCAGTATAAAAAAGGCAAAGAACCTACCTCTTGGAGTTGAAAACCTCTCCTTCCTCATTTCTCTTCTATGCCATACCTTGAAAAAGAAGCAGGATTTTTTTTTTCCTTCTTCCTTCCTTCTTTCCTTTCCTTCCTTCTTTCTTTCCCTCATCTTTCTTTCTTTTTTTCCTCTCTTTTTCTTATTCATTCATAGTTTGTCAATCAACAAATATTAGAAGCCCACAGTGTGTTAGACCCTATCCTAGGCACTGGGTCACCTGTAGCATAAAATCAAGTTCCAGCTTTCTTGGGGGCTTTGGGTTCAGGAAGATACTATAAATACACAGGTGATCAAACGGCTAGCATAATTACATACTAGATTATCATTATAAAAGTAAGCAGAGAGCTCTGTTAAGAGAATAATGAGGGTCCTAATTTGAATAATTTGGTGAAGTTCTGTCTGATATTTAGGCTGAGGTGTGTGTGTGTGTTTATTGAAGCACCGTTGACACACAATGTTACATTAGTTTCAGGTGTGCAACATAGTGGTGTTATGCTATGTTATACTATGCTCACCATTAAGTGTGGTTACTTACTATCTGTAGGTAAAGATTTAAAGAAAAAGACAGAACCAGCCCTGGAAAGGATTTAGGAATAACTAGTAAAGTTTTCCATACAGAAGAACAGGCAGCTGCAAAGGCACTAGGTGGAAATAATTTGGCATGTTCCAGAACCTAAAAGGGGAGAAGAGTTGAAGCATGGTGGCCCAATGGGCAGTTTCAGAAGGAGGCAAAGACCAGATCATGTAGAGAGATATGGGGGCTACTGTAAGAAGGTCAGACCTTATTCTAATCAATGTGAAGCCACTAAATGGGTTCAAGCATGAAGTTAATTATAGTTATTAATAATAAGAATACCAAAATAATAATAGCT